CATTCAGTATTTATTCAGTATTCATTCAGTATTTATTCAGTATTCATTCAGTATTCATTCAGTATTCATTCAGTATTCATTCAGTATTCATTCAGTATTCTGTATTTATTCAGTCTTCATTCAGTATTCATTCAGTATTCATTCAGTATTCATTCAGTAATCATTCAGTATTCATTCAATATTTATTCAGTATTCATTCAGTATTCAATATTCATTCAGTATTCATTCAGTATTCAGTATTCGTTCAGTATTCATTCAGTATTCATTCAGTATTCATTCAGTATTCATTCAGTATTCATTCAGTATTCAGTACTTAGTATACTACCTGATGGAGATCTGATATAATTAAAGAAAGTAGAAAAATATATAGACAAGTCTAGATAAGAGATTGAATTGTTGTCAAATACATTACACAGATGTTACGGCTATACAATGACGTATTATTCTTGAGGCTGTAGAGTAACCATTCTGAGAGTGTTCTTTATAAATTAGATTTCATATAAAACAGTCAGTGTTACGTGACCGACTACAGTCAAAAGAATTAAAAACAGTACACTTAACATTAAATTGAATAATAATTAGGTGAAGTAGAGACAAATTTTACGCAACACACAACTGAACGCCAAGTAGTAGTGTAAGATACGTTCCGGGTGTTGTCCAAAACTGTACACTCTAGTTAAATTTAGCTAGCACATAAGTCATTATATCACTTTATCAGTACATTGTACAAAGGTCGCCTCGAACCAGATGTTCATAATGCCGATAGACAACTGATGTAATTATACGTGAACGTGCACACTATACATTTAACGACTTCTGCTGTGTGAAGTGAGCACCACACAATCACAATTAATTAAATGATTCTTTGTGGCAATCGTAGACATCGAAGTGCATACTCAACTACACTCTGCTACTAGAGTAAACAGACATATTCATTGACACTGAATTACTTCACGGAAAACAAAAGAAAAGGATCATCTGTATGACGGGGTACACTTGTCCACGATACTAGTCAATTTAACAATAGAAGGAAGTTGGCACCTGTTCAATTGATGATTCCAAGCAGAACACCTGCTCGAAGGGATACACTTGTCTACACTACTAGTCAACTTGATCATACTTTTATTCCTATGTACGGTTAAACTGTAACATGAGGATGATTGTCGACTCTTTCTACTTGATAGTCAATCAGTAAACCATCCGAGCAGGTGTTCTGCAGGAGCCACCAATTGAACAGATGACACCTTCCTCCTACAATACTAAATGCAAAAGTTATATATATATAGGGAGAAATTATAAAATCTTTCCTTGTATTTTACAAAGCATAGTTGTTGGTGATTAGTGGTGCAGTTGAATTATGTGACCCGAACCTGTAATGTAAAAACACTTCAAGAACCCTTAAATCCTTATATGGTATAATTTTACTCAAATTTCATATTATGAAAGCTATAAGCATGTCTTAATGTGTGGAATAATTCTACACTCCTCACGATGCTCTTGATCTAGGAAGAATGCGTTTTGCTGTAGTGTGCCACACTCCACATGCGGGGAAAGCCAAGAGCAAGTCTATTAGCTCAGGATAACAACAATTTCAGGAAAACAACAATTTTATTTAGTATCAATTAAAGCAAACAAAATAATATTTTATATATAACTATCAGGACCTTTATACCAGAAATCTAAGGGGACTTGGAGTAGCAATAGAGTGGCTAGAAGGTACATATACCTTTAACAAAAATACGTCAAAAAGAATCCAGGGTGGTACAGGATCGGAGAGTGCAGACCATGTAGTTTACGCACCCTAAAATTATCACATACTCTTTTACATATTGTCTTCAAGTCTAACCCAAAATTAAAACCTTGATTTACCGCCAACACCAATTCATCAGGGTTAAATCTTTTCCCAAAAACAACGGTAATATGAGGGTTTTACTGTACATTCTAATGTATTCTAATACCTTATATTATACCTTATATTATTGATTTTCTCAGTAGGGTGCACTGCTAACAGTCCTATGATCTGATTTGTGGCATCCTTTACAGCACCATTTAACCTCTTATATAGCAGTTTATTAATATAATGTTTAATTATTCATTGTTGTATAAAACTTTTATCAAAGTTCACTCCAACACACTGCTGCGACCATTTTCAAAAAAGTTTTGGTTTTGCTTTAAAAAAGGTATCAATTTATATAACCCCGCTTACATTGTATTGCTATTATTTGCTATTATTTGCTATAATTTGCTATAATTTACTATTAATTGCTATTAATTGCTATTTATTGCTATTTATTGCTATTTATTGCTATTTATTGCTATTAATTTCTATTAAAGTATGTTTCTATTATTTGCTATTATTTGCTATTATTTGTTATTATTTGTTATTATCATGCTGTGTAGTCTGTATCCAGCTTTGTAAGTACTCAAATACACAAAAAGAGTGAACATTACTTACTTTACCACGTTACTGTAACTTCTAACAGTACACTATAACATTACTTTACCACGTAAATTTGAAAAGATATTATGTCTAACATTGTGCTGATATACCTTTTTCAAATTTTCCACTTTGCAGTTTTATTGTGTTCAATGACCCTAATTCTACATTTTTCCCAATTTTTTGCCCTCAAAATCATCCATGAAATCAGCCAAAATTGTTCATTTTAAGCCCCTCAAAAACATCACTCTGAGGGCAGTAATAATTAAAGTTTCTCATTAAACAAGAGACGTTAAGCTTCTAGCTGGTAGGTAACTCATTTAGCATTCAGGTGCGCTTGCAGCTTGCAACTGGCTGATCCTTTGTTTAATATCCTGTAAATGGAATTGTCTATTCTGAAAAGTACGGTCACCAATAACATCAACAGTTTCTTGAATGGTGTTTTTGCAGTGAGGTGCGTGCAGTCGACCCGATTCGGGAATCAGAATTGGATTATTTCTCCTACAATAAGGTAGTTCGTATACACTGCTTTCGATTTCAAGTATTCTTATACGAACTCTTTTGGGTTTCTTCTTTGTGTACAGATTCTTAAAAACTTTTTTGGTTGGTGTCTCTTTAGTGTAGTCTTTATAGTTGTTTTCTGATTTAAACCATGGGTTATTCGTTCTTAGATCAAGTTTAAATATTCGCTCTAGAGTAACAACGAATTCGAATTTTTGTAAATTGTTGCCAAATTTAACATGTTTTAGTTGAGTGGATATTTCAGAGGCGTGAAAGGATGAGTTAACTCTGTCGGTAGAGAAGGTTTTTGGTATTTGTAAATCCAATGAGAAGAAAATATTTTCGACTTCGTCAACTGCTAATGGTTCAGAATTTTCTATTTCCGAAAAGTATGTTGTAGACATAATATGGTGAAGGTTTGTGGTTACGTTTTAATATGATTAAACTATTGTAGTTTCTTAAATACCTGTAACCGATTAACGTTAGTTATAACGGTTATCGTAACAAAAGCAGTCCTTCGGGGAAGTAGACCAGGCGGGATTCGAACCCACATGTTCCCGCAGAGGAAAGTTACCGTTAACTCACTAGTCTGAGGCCCCAACCGGACTGCTGCATAATCACAATTACGAGTGTACTTATGGCAGTATAAGTGATTATAAATACCAAGCTCGTTGGACCAGGTCAGCTCCCATGCTTGTGAAACTAAATGTGAATTTGCGTGTGATGTGAGTGTAACTGTAAAATAAAAGATATAAGCATTGGTCTCTTACTTATTAAAGTGCTCGTCTGTTAAGCTAGTTGTCTCATCTCTCACTTTTCCTTGCAAAGAGAAATCTTTAGGAGAAACCGATCCAAACATTACACTTATAGTTGCATGTGACACTGTATCACTTTCTATATTAATATAGAAGCCGCATGAGAGTGCAGTAGTGATTATATATAATAAGCTCCCAAGGCGAGTCACGCGGCCGTTTCCCTACGTCAGCTGACCTCTGGCTCTATATAAATCAACATTACACATCAAGTTATAAGCAATCCACGTGATCAACTTTAACCAATCAGAAGACATACAGCCGCGTGATATGACGCTGAAAACCAATCAAATGGTCATATTTTGACTCATGTGACAACTGTGCAGAATAAATAGGATATCGATATTGTACAGCACCCAGATCACTACTCTGACCTAGAACTTGACGGATGTTACTTGTTTAAATTTCTTCGAAGTAGCGCGCGCTGCTTTCTTCTCGAAATATAATCAGCCCGAGGCAAGTGTTGTAGCCGTAGGTTTATAAGTATAACCTACCAAGACGCTTGACCATTGTTAATGGACTAGCCCGGCGCGCGCTACTTCGAAGAGGCGCGCTACGTCGAAGAAATTAAGACGAGTAACATCTTGTCATACGTTGTCATACGCCTACAGTGTATGACCCGCCGCGCACGAGCTCCCCCTGTATCGTAGAAACTCTACAGTGAAACGACGATGGGGGTCACGACGTGATACAAGTAACATCCGTCAACTTTTATACCCTCAGGGTACGGCCGTACGGGGTTTCCGTAAGATATTGGAAAAAATTCGGGAGATCGAGTGACACCGAGACCGCAATATTATTTTTGTTTTATTGAATAATTGTTATATTTATTGATATTATAATAAATATTGAATGACTTCTAACTTCACTGTGATGTTCCCCGTGATATTTTACAAAGCTTGAATGTAAGAGACACAATAAAGACTTCATACGTTTCGTAACAACTACAAGGTAAGGAGAAATAGTCTAAGAACATAACATCTACATTCTTCAAGTTTAATTGCAATATAAAAATGATATTAACATTGAACTGAAGCGGCTCTTAGTCTTACTCTTACTAATTAACTCGCCAGTACGCTATCACGTGACTTGGGTTTTTTCGGGTTTGCACTTTGCAGCTAAACAAAACTGTCTCATCTAAACTCTAATAATCGATTAAATACAATTACATGGGATCTGCGCATACTGACAATTATCAATTTCAATTTGTGTATTACACATCCTTTCACAAGTCGCCTAATTTCCAACTATGATACAAAATTGAAAGTCCCATGATACATTATTACAAATGAAAAATTCCATTCATTCCCAACAGTACTGTTAATAGCGCCTCCAACGAGCTTGAGACTTGAATTGTTGAGCATTGAGTGTCTGTGGTAATGCAGGCAGCGGCACACCTGGCACGCCAATCCCAATGCGCAGCGCTCTTTTCGAGCTTCTCGCGAGTAGCGAGCAATAGACTAGCAAGCTAAGTAATCTGCGGTACAATATACACATAACTGTGCAATTGCTAGTTGGGCAAGTAAGTAAGCTTAGAGCGGTTCTTTAACTTTCAGCTACCACGTGTTCAACGTCTTTGTCATCTCTATTACGCTTGAGATATTTTTCAACTGAAACATTGTTAAAATTCAACACAAGAGTTCTGGTATTACCGTAATAGATATATTTGTATTTCTAAAAGAGACAGTAATACATGTTTCTTTTCCAATAAAACCTATGATTCTCATGCCTGCTTTAGTCAAGATGACCTAAAAGAGGCTGTTAAATTTATTATTTATAACACTTATGTCGTCTTCGGTGGGATTGTATTCATACAAACCAAGGGTATTCCTATGGGTGGAAATTCAAGTTCCCCTATAGCTGATCTCACTGTTGGCAAAAAGGAATTTAATTATATGAAACGTTTACTTCAGGAAAAGAAAATGGGATTAGTAAAGATATTATCCAATAATAAACGATATGTTGACGATTTATCTATTATTAACTACCTTTACTTTCATAAATTGATTAAAGATATTTATCCTAATTCATTGGAGATGGAGCGAGCTGGTTCCAATAATAAAATCATTAACTACCTTGATTTAAATATTAATATTTCCACAGAAGGACTAGAAATATCAGTGTATAACAAAACTGATGATTTTAATTTTCATGTTGTATCCCTTACATTTCCTCACAGTAACATCCCAACCGAGGTTGGCTACAACGTTTTTTCAAGTCAAGTTCTTAGATATGGTAATGTTTGCACTAGATTGGATATCTTTACCTCCCATCTTCACAAAATATTCAAAATTCTAATTGATAGAGGATATAGCCGTGATAGACTGATTAAAGGCATTAAACGTTGTCTGAGGAAATATGATAACGTTTTCAGGAAGTTCGGTATTCTAGATGACCGTAACATTATTAAAGAACTCCCCTGATATCTTTTGATTTATTGAAACACGGGTACTAACTCTGCTCAACTGAACAAATTCTGAAACTTAGGTGAATAAGTGTACAACGTGCTAAACCGAAGTTCAGACTGACCAGTGAAAATGGGCGAGCGTACCAAGTGTCATTTTAATTAGAAGTTTTAGTCAGTGATTTATTATTGAAGCTTGTAATTACAATATCTAATGCTCCTATAAATACTTTAATTAATTGTATGTCCTGTTTTTCTTTTTCCTTCCTCTTTTCCTTGTCATCCCCTTTAGTTTTAAGATTCTTGCTATAAATGGCTACAGCTAACACTATTAATGCTAAGTACCAAACAACAAGTGGAGGTGGATCGTTGGTATACCATTAAATCGATTTAACACCGCAATTCCAGTCGCAAGCCTGGGACCACTACTAGCATAGTCACAACATCTACAAAGCTGCCATATAGCCTGACTGACAATTTTCTCGACTGACTGACAATGTTTCTTCTTTTTCCCCATTTAGAATACAAAGATTAGTACATTTTAGCTTATGATTAATATTATATTTTTACCTATAGTTTACCTAGACTACTTACTTACCTAGCAAATAAATTAAAAGCATATCAACAATCAAGAATAAAGCAACAATCCACATTACGAGCGTGCCAAATTACTCGAAATTCGAGATTTTTCTAAAAAGCAGTTAAAACCATTTTAAATCGACGTATTTTTGAACGCTGATTCCGAACACCCCACATGACATTCACATAGGGTTAGAAATAGAATGCTCCACTGTACTGGCGAATGATCAGTGAAATTTCTAGTCAGGGTTTAAGGGGGGGGGGGGGGGGGGTCGAAATGCGATTCTACGTTGATTCTGATTTACATAATCCCTAATCCCAACCCTAACCCTAACCATAACCCCGAAGCTATCCATAATCTAATCCACAACCCTAACCCTAACCCGGCCCTAAATAATCGAATTCACGTTTTACTAGCCTGTCACGTGACCAAAACGGTTTTTGACCATAACTCTCCAGAGAAGCATTTTTAACCCTACGTCATGGGGGGTGATTCGGAATCAGCGTCCAAAAATACACCGATTCAGATCACTTTCATGCCTAAAGGCCAGGTAGCGTAGTTGGTTGATCATCGGATTTGTAATCGTAAGATTGCGAGTTCGAATCCCACTGCCTGCCTAGTCGTGGGGTGAGCGTCGTTGACGCTCTGCTAAGGATCCCGAGTGGTCTATGTAGCCCCACGGTTCACTCAGCCGAATGCTCGAGAAATCGGGGTGTGAGGGTTAAATGAGGAGCTGTGCTTGATCAACACAGCGAAGCCTCGGGCGAAGAAAGTGTGGCATAGTGCCTTAACCGTTGCTGGCCTTAGAACGATCCTTCGGCTTCTTGTAAAGCTCTTCCTTGAAAGTGCTGGTTTACATTGTAATGCAGGTAATGCCGAAGTAAAAATAACAAAGGTGGTCGACTCATTCGATGGCCTTGTTGCGGTCGCAACGAATCCTCATAAGATAAGAAGATAAGATAAGATAAGAAAGGGCCTTTTCACAAGAATTTTCTTAAAATTTGGGCGAGCGATTTAGTAGGAGCGAGAATTCACAGTTAGCTAGATACTGAGCTGATAATCATAGAGAAGGTGTAGTGTAGGCTTACCTTCTATATAAAGTTGGTTTCATTCAAAAATATTGATATTTGACTAATTTATGGGCCAAAATCGATCAAATTTGGTGCGTATGCCCAAATATGGTCATATGGTTTTTGGCTCATAACTCAGTCATTTTTGTCCAATCTTGAGGAAAATTCATATACGAGTTTAGGGGACCACTAGCTACAAGAGAGCACCTAAAATGGGTAGGTGCTAGATTGGGCCTAATTTGGACCAAATATGGGCGTGGCTGCCCCGCGGGCACCGTTTGGCGGTGGGGTCCGGGACCCCCTCAAAAGTTCGGTCACCGGTCCTAGTTTGTTGGTCAACAGCTATCTCGAAGTTTCACAAAAAAATCAGGGTGAAACCTGACTTACTGTTAGGGTTGGGGTCAAAGTAGATCGAGGGTTATGGTTTTGAATAGTCCCTCAGGGCCATCTAGAGAACGTGTTTAAAGTCACGTGATAGTCAACAATCCATTTGATGACAAATCACAAAAGATTAAAACTTTAAAACAGCGTGGATTGTGAGTGGGCCATTGCATCAACTCACCCACATACTGAAGAGCACGTTGCAGCCTCAGATTCAGGGCCTGAAAACCGGAGCTCGTCTCCTAGCAACCACCACCTCACGTCAGGGAACATGGTCTCGACTGCCTTTGTAGCCAAGTTAGTCATTGTGCCTAGGTGTACGCGCTCACCCTGAAAACAAAGCACCAAGTTAGTCATTGTGCCTAGGTGTACGCGCTCAACCCTGAAACAAAGCACCTAAATATTTGCAAGCTTTTCTTTACTGGGCGGCGCTCAGCATGTCATTCCGCTGAATCTTTAACGGGTGATACTCGTAAAATATTTGTTTTACGACGCGCGTCTTGGTAGGTTATAAACCTACAACCGAATCTCTATTCTATGTTTATGAACATTACAGCCTGGGGTCCCCAGGTAAGCTTTTCTCTGAAAGGAAACAAATATGCGGTCACACTCACGCTGCTTAAGCGTACATGCAGACTTTTAAAATTACTAACCTATCATTGATGGCAAGTTTGAAGTAACATGACTTCTTTTTCCCCATAATAAAATCCAGCATCCCAACTAGAGATTTAACGTTTTCCTTCCCGCGACAAGATGCACAGTCCGATCTTTTCCTTCAATCATCAGGACCTAAAAGAGAATGATTTTCTGGTTTACTCTCATTTTACCCGGAATACGCTCAATGCTGCTTTACTGTACACAGAACAAGCATCAAAACAGGTTGTCCATAACTATTGATAAATAAACTTATAAAGTAATTTCGCGATCCAGATATGTTTCTAAAGTTATTAAGAAAAGTAAACATTCAGTTTAAAGTATAGATGAGATATCGTTACCCCGGTAGCGAGTCTTTTTAACCGTCCGCTCAACGTCACAAAGTTTTCGTAGTGATAATCTATCTTATAAGTTTCGTGGGTGGCATCTGCTAGGAACCTGTTGATAAGAAATTGTAACTATAGTCGTTACCGGACAATTTCACCCAAATTGGACTTTGGGATTCCGAATGATACTAAGATATTGATGTTGGTATACTACGGAAGCGAAGCTTAATCCATAAACACAACACAACTTACTTTTGAATCTGGGTAACGTCTACTCTAGGACCGTTGACAGCTAAAGTTCTCTCTCTAGAATTATAGTAAAAGCAAGCACAAGGATGTATGTGGTTGAGGTAGCTATGTCGAATAATATCACCAATGAACGGTCCCTGAAACTCTCCCTCAACATCCTGCAACAAAGATTCATCAGTCAGCGTTCTAAAAGCTGAATCACACAGAGATAGTTACCATAATAACACTGCTAGTTACCATGGTAACACTGCTAGTTACCATGGTAACACTGCTAGTTACCATGGTAACACTGCTAGTTACCATGGTAACACTGCTAGTTACCATGGTAACACTGCTAGTTACCATGGTAACACTGCTAGTTACCATAGTAACACCGCTAGTTACCATAGTTACATTGCTATTTACCATAGTAACATTGCTATTTACCATAGTAACACTGCTAGTTACCATGGTAACACTGCTAGTTACCATAGTAACACTGCTAGTTACCATAGTTACACTACTAGAATTGTAAGAATATATCTTCTTATCTTATAGAGTATTAGTAGAATTAAGAGAGCAAAATCTTTTCGTTTCATTACAGCTAAGCAGTTTACTGTTTAAATGGTATAAGTACGGCTAAACTATCATTTAGAGGAGTTTTTATTTTGAAAAAAAGTTTTAAAACATGCGATTCATGTCGCCAATCAAGGATGATTAAAATACAAAAACATACCATGGTCACGGAAGTCGTATCCGATAAAATGTTTCTTATGTTATCAATACCAGTTTTGACATCATCTGCTATTCCAAATACAGTGACAACATTCACTTTACGATTGATAGAATATTCAACCTGAAAATGACATGGATAAAAACCAGATACCTCAACTCTTCAAATAAAGCCACAAAAGTGAAAGGAAAATCTATTAGGCAGATAGTTACTATAGTAACACTGCTAGTTACCTATCTATTAGGCAGATAGTTACCATAGTGACACTGCTAGTTACCTATCTATTAGGCAGATAGTTACCATAGTAACACTGCTAGTTACCTATCTATTAGGCAGATAGTTACCATAGTAACACTGCTAGTTACCTATCTATAGGCAGATAGTTACTATAGTAACACTGCTAGTTACCTATCTATTAGGCAGATAGTTACCATAGTAACACTGCTAGTTACCTATCTATTAGGCAGATAATTACCATAGTAACACTGTTAGTTACCTATCCATTAGGCAGATAGTTACCATAGTAACACTGCTAGTTACCTATCTATTAGGCAGCACAACCTTAATAAGATAGGACACACACTCTCTCTCGGTTACGGTCAACGGTTTCTGGCCTCCTACGGTAAGTGGGAAGCCTTCTCGCCGTGCCCTCAGAATGCAACTCCTGCTAGCTACACGCCAGGACTCCCAAAGTATATACATAATCATAAACAAATAAATATCTACGCAACAGACCTCTGGAGTCTTGAAGTTAAGCTGTCACTACCTGGCTCAGAGCAAACCCACTTCCGTTATAGTACTTATAAAATATCTATCTATTAGGCAATAGGCAGCATAACCTCAATAAAATAGGGCACACAGAAACACTCACGTTAAAAGGACGACACTTTATCTCGGTCATTCTCAAGTTCGTGATGTACTTTTGACAAATTTGGGCGTGGTCGTTAGTCAATGAAAGTTCCTCCACACTAAGATTCTCACTAAAGTCTTGTAATTTTCCGGCTGCTTGCTCCACATGTTTAGCTTGATCGCCGACAACAGAGAAAATGAGATTTTCCTTGCCTAGTCCCACATTTGCAACCACCTGAAAAAGGAAATGACGTCACGTAAAAAGGAAAACATAACCCGTTTCTGCCTATAATCCTCTGATATTTAGAATTAGAACCCAGCTAAACGGCACGTAACGCGGCGCGTAACACGGCACGTAACACGGCACGTAACACGGCACGTAACACGGCACGTAACGCGGCACGGAACACGGCGCGTAACACGGCACGTAACACGGCACGTAACGCGTCACTAATAATCCCAAAATGGGTGTGTGTGTGTGTCTTTCTGTCTGTGTATTGGTAATTTACGAGTGGCTTTATTAAGAAAGCGGTAAGAGTTATGGGACTTGTCTTTTGGCAGAGTATAATCTCAGAATAGTTCTACTAATTACCATGACAGACACATAATGGACACGTAAAACATTAGTTCAAGGAAAGAAAAACTTCATAACAAAATTACCTCCGCATTATCAACTACGCGCTTCGGGACATTCAGAGACATCAGAGCATTTTTGAACCGGTTTAGTTTTGACCTACTACCTTCAGAACCGTCACAGATAATACTGGTGTTCAGATGAACTTCACGATAGTGAACACCTTCCATTATTTCAGCTAACTTCTTTCGTGCTTCTTCAACTTCTCTTGTATCTCCGTCCAGGGTTATATTCCAGAGAGGGACTGTATTTACAAATATTGTACAATTCTTCTGTAAATACAGCCAGTAACGATAAAAAATAAATAAATTTACGGGTTTTAATTCATGCCATTAGCTTCCCTAATAACCTATTTTATGATTATAGGAATAACTTAAACCTAAATATTGCTTTTACCAAAAACAATATCATTTATCTTACAGTTTATCTCAGATCTATATATTGATATATATATATCAATATTGATATATATATATCAATAATATATATCAATAATATATATCAAATAATATATATCAATATATAATATTGATATATATATCAATAATAATATGATATATTGAGTTAAAACAGTCGTTGATACTGCCCCTTACGGATCGTTCACATATGACGTAATAACGTTTTGAACGATTTTTATCCCCCTCCGTAATCATTTTTACAACTATTGTGTCTAAATTACACTAGCGTAATCACTTAGATCCCCCCCCCCTCTTCTCAGTTATTACGTAATATGTGAACGACCCCTTGGTCCTAACTCCAGTTTGCTTAACAAAAAACTAAATATTCCGCTGAAAAGGATAAAAACAGCACCATCCTACCTCAGGGAAGAGTGAAGGCCACGCTTTAGGAGTCGCCTCAGATTCAGGGAATATGCTTCTTCCAATGTAGTTCAGGTACGGGAATCCCTTGTGACTAAGGGGAATGATGCAAGTTGACCGGGCCTGTTCAATCGGTGGTAGTTCTTGTATTATCTGGTTAACAGATTCCTTGCTACCAACTATTTTCAGATGTGTTTTGTCTTTGTAACGGGATTGGGTGGTCCAGATGGTAACCTAAGATAAGGTGAATTCAGGATGATTTGGGAGAATTTATGATGAAATAATTGTGATAAATCTAGAGATTGGAGCAGTAAATCTGCCACATCATGAAATAATTATCAATATCACAAAGCTTATTTAACATGTTAATCAACGAACCAATGGCCATTTATTTTGCAACGCAGGAATATCCAGTCTCCTGGTTGGAAGCCCGTAAATCCCACTTATGTCTTTAATATGATAACACAGTCCATCAAGTGAAGACTGGAGGAGTTCCTGGGCTTGATCCAACTGCTCCTCAGATCCTCCGACACGGAATTTGTCGTACCGTTGAAACAAAAATGTGAACCCATCTAGCTCCTGAATAGTGTAGTTATCAAGCTGAGGTCTAAAAGATCCCAAAGCGCAGAACAGACTATCACGAAGTACATGGCAAAAATCAATCATTTACTAGAATACGAAAGAAAAGGTACATACTTTTAAGAGTTGCTCATGACATTGCTGCAGCCACCGTTTTTTATGACCCGTTGTGACGTCATCATCAGATGTTGATGTCCTGGAAAGCTCACGATACGTTTCAAAATCGAATTTTTGGCTCAAGAAGTTTCTCATCTTCAAGAACTGGGTGAAATCACCCACTCCTTCAACCATTAGGAGGCAGCTTCGTGGAGAGAAGTTATTGAAGATGTGGTCGTACGTTGTTGTCTTTATGGGCATCTGAAACGTTTATCATCATGGTTATCATGATCATGGCTATTTATTGACTGTTTATGATTAGGAATCGGAAAAAGGAAAAATCAGGCCAATATGAAAAAATTCTACGAAGAAACCTTCAAGCCGTTGATAACTTACTTCTATGTTTTGAGCGAAATCATTTATATCCTTGATCATTCTATCAGACGCGTAAACAGTTCGTATCCACTCATTCAGGAATGTAAAGAAGCGATACCGCTGTCCGCTGTCCATTATATTGAGAATGTGGTCCCTAGCTTGCCGAGCTAACTGCGGTTCTGGACCTTTCAGCTGGGTTCGGAATCCACCAGCGTAGCTCTTTGATTCGACCTGCGGACGACACATGTGACATGACACGATTAGTAATTAATTAATTGATTTAAAATTAATTAATGGTAACAGCAATCCAACCTTGTGACAGAAATAAGAAGAATAAGGTCTTTATAAGTTTATAGGACAATAAACAAAGCTAAGTAATAATTCTGATAAGTCCTCTCAGAATAAAGCTTTCATTATTTAGGCGAAAAAAAAGAGATCGGATATAAATTTACTGGGTTGCACAATGCATTAAAACAAGTACTGTATATCTGTATCATACCTCAGGACTGACTAGATTGTTCTCCTTGAGAACAGCAAAGATTTTTCCAGCGTCAGGATATAGATGCCCAATGTCAATGGGAACTTCAGCCTTCAGAACCGAGTCTATCTTAATCAGGTCATCTAACGCTGCGGAGATATACAAGTGTACGGGGTGGGTAGCATCAGTCTTGTCCGTCCTGAATGTTGCCTGAAAATAACAAATGTTGAAAAAAGAAATATTCTGCAATACCTAAAATTTATAAAATTGTACTTATACTGGAGACAACATTTGTTACAAATCAAAATAAGTGAGAAATGACCGTGAAACTGAAAATAGGTAAACAAACAAATTATCTCACAACAAACGTACATCAGGAAACTTCTGCTTCAATTCCCTGATAATTCCACTTTCATCATACTTGTACTGGCTCTTTGCACTGTATTTGAACACAATCTGAGGCTGGATCAAGTCGAACTTGTCTGGGAAGTTGACTCTAAGTATACGGTAGAAATAAAGCAGACGGTGGTTAACACTGTCGAAAGGTCCAACTAGAGTCAGACTGGGCTCTGATTCAGTCGGCAGAATGACCAGCATCTCACGGAGATATTTACTCCAGTAACTCCTGGGATATGTTGGGAATTACCAGCAAAATACTCGATGCTGGTTGTGAACAGCTACGAGAATCTGAACCAGAAGGTTGTAACAAGGTTGTTGCAGTCAATACTGTATTTGCACGATAATGTTGAAAGTTTATTATGGAAAACAAACCCAAATTGTGAAGCAGCTAGGCTGTCCAGGACTTCCGTTGAAATAGGAATGCTGATGTGTGCCGCCTCCCTTGTAACCCGCGCTACCTATCAGGAAAAAAAATTTGTATTATTAGAATGTAATAAAATCGAATATATTTGACATTGTTTCGTCACCACGACAACCAAGATTCATCTGGGAAGTGGAAAGCTTGAAATAGTTCAATAATTAGTGATAATAATTAGTTACTTACCATGTTCGATTTGGTAAGTTTAATAAGTTTAGTAAGACAAATAGCTAAAACAAAATAAGGTTTGATGTCAATCGCCTTAATGATTCTGATATTAAGTGTAAATTTTTTGATTCCTTTAAAAGTAATATTGATTGTAGAGTTTTAACTAATAATGCTATTTCTGAAAATTCTGATATATTTGGTATATTGAGTAAATGTGCCGTCCAGGTGGTTGGTAAAGTGCCCCCGGGGAAGCCTCATCAGTACAGCGACGATCCAACTGTCGTTAAACTTTCAGCAGAGAGAAAGTCCCTTCAGCAAGAATGTAGTCTCACAGGGATAAGCGACAGGAGTGACCTCAGAAAAAGAATCAACCATCTCAAACGTACCATCAAAAAGAGGTTGAAATCCATCAATGAGGCCGCAGCTAACGCCCTAGTAGATGTCATCAACAACACCGACAGCTGCAGAAGCATGTTTGAAGCGAATAGAACTTTGGCCCAGTGTAGGATGAAGAAAGACGGAGTGACTGTCCACGATGCAGACGGGAACACCTTAGGTTCTGACTCATTAAAAGCAGAAGCTATTAAAGAATACTTTAATAATGAGTTCAATGACAAAGATGAACCCCACCTCCCAGCATTCATAGACCCTCCTGGAAGCCTCCTCTGTCCCATAACACCTGAAGAAGTTGGCCGTGCTGTTATGAAGCTGAAATCCGGTAGAGCGTGTGGCCCTGACGGTATACCTAATGAGCTAATGAAAGCTGCTGGATATCCCCTCCACTGTGAGTTGGCTAGGATCTACAATCTCTCCTTTGAGACCAACACATACATCCCAGCTATTGGAGAAGGTATCCTGACACCCCTTCAGAAGCCAGGAAAACCCCGAGGTCCGATAAAGTCTATCCGGCCCCTCACATTGCTAAATGGAACTAGAAAAGTCCTATCCCTCGTAGCCTTGAACAGAATCAATTACCACGTTGATATGTACACTGGACCTTGGCAGGCGGCATACAAGCAGGGTCGCAGTTGTGCTGACCTGGTATGGTCTCAGAGAATGTTGACATCAGTGGTTACCAGGCGCGAGTTTGAGTATAGTAAAATCAACATTGACATGACCGCTGCGTTTAATACTATCCGCAGACAGACCATCATCAACCTCCTCATTGATGCAGGATGCTCTAGAGACGACATTCGCCTAGTTCAGTACCTCCTCTCAAATACAAAGCTCAAGGTGACGGTCAACAGATCTGAGTCTGGTGAATTTGTGATTAATATTGGCGCTTACCAGGGAGACAGTCTGGCAGGTAAAGTGTTTACATTGACCCTTGCTGGTGCCCTGAATCACATCAGAGCCGTGATCAGTGTCACGATTCCTAGACCGAACCCCCCAGTCTCTGATAGAGGCCTCCCGTTAGAGTCCGCCTATGCTGATGATGCTGAGCTTCTGAGTGAAGATGGTCAGAGCCTGGTGAAGATACTAGAGATTGCCAGTGATATACTAAAGGATTGGAGTCTCTTTGTTAACGAATCAAAGACGGTGTTTACAAGAGTGTATTTGGCAGATACAGATGCTTTAGATGCCCATGGCAATAAAATTAGAGGAGATGAAGAGTGGCGAGAGTCAGTGCTATTAGGATCAAAGCTCTGTTCAGAAAGAGATATTGTCAACAGACGCAACAAAGCCAATGTTGCCTTCTACACCTACAAGAAAGTCTGGTTGAATAGTTCTGTTCAGATCAGTGAGAGTAGAAAGCTGAAGCTGTACGAAGCTCTTGTCACTTCAGTGTTGTTGTATAACTGTAGCAGCTGGGCTGCTCCTGAAACCGTAATGGCATCTGTCGACGTTCTTCAAAGGAAGCATCTGAGACAGATAATCAACACCTATTGGCCTACGGTTATCAGTAACGAGAATTCATATAAGAGATGTAATGTCAGACCCCTTACTGAAAGGATCAAGAAAGCAAGATGGAAGATGCTTGGGCACGTTCTCAGAAGCGGTGATGACACTCCCGCCTTCTTATCTTTTAGATTTGCATGTTTAGGATGTTTTGACTACAAAGGAAGGAGGGGCAGACCTCGTTCAAATTTATTTGATTTATTATTAAAAGACATTATGACAAAACAAATTATTGTGATTGTAAATAAAAGATTTAGTTTAAGTAATTTCAACGATTTAGTGTACAAAGCTCATGATAGACGGCTATGGAGAAGCTATGGGTGAGTCGAGACTACTCGGCCACTCGATTTTATGATTTAATTTATATTATCTTGTGTTTGCTGTATATAGTTGATTAATAATAGCTAAAAACCTCAGAAGTTAATTTCTTGACAGGATATCGCAACCCTTTTAGCTTCAGTGTGACACAGTCCTTGTCGTAGTTAGGCAGGAAATGCGGCCCTTCCACCTGGGTAAATATGTCTGTTGTAAGGAACATATACTGTCTGATTCGACAAAAAGTGTGTTTTTTTCAATTTTGAAGAAAATCTGTTATAAATAACAAGACATACTCAGATCTATCTGCTGTATGTGCTTGAAAAAAAACCAAGAATAATTAAAAACCATCTCGGAAAGAGCGGTCTCCTCCTTGGATTGTAGATAATTCTGAACATATTTGGTCATGACGTCACTTCCTGTCCAGGTTTCCTCACACTGCACATTCCACTTCTCCACGACAGCATCAAGCTTCTCCTGGATCATACCCTGTGTATCATTCTCTAAATTCCAGCACTTCACTGTCCTATCTTCAATGAAGCAAACTGTGCTGGGGTACTCGTTTATCTTCTTCAAGACTTCTAAGAGATCATTATCTACGGGTACGAATTCAGGTAGTGCCATCTCGAAGTAGCGAATACAATTAAGTTTGATATCAAGTTTTCGTTTGAATGATGCCAGTGCTTCGGGCTTGCCAGTGGCGGTAAAAATGTAGCCATCGTTCATAGATCTTCCTCTGAGTTCGACCTCCACCTTCTGCGAGAAACAACATTGTAATTTATGTTCTAAATACAACTCCAGACTAATCTTATTTCGAATCGTCACAAAAGGTAAATTAAATGTGATAAAAACTGTCAAACCTCTTGACCATACTCAAACAGGGATCTGATGTTGATGAGATTATTCAGTTTCAGTAGGGATCTCTCGGCGTGGGAAAGTTCAAACTCGTAAGTTATCATCTCATCCAGCATCTGACGGATCTTCTCCTCGACACCACTCAGTTCGTTTGATTTCCAGCTGATCAAGTGAAGTTCCTGACCATTTACTGACATCTCGTATTTTGTCTGGGAAATGATTAATTGTTGATGATAATTAATTAATGATGATATCATTAATTAATTATCAGTTAAAATAACCGTGGACTCCGTGCCTAATCGAGAAAATAGTTTCAGTCGTCCGTTCAAATAACCCTCGAAATGCGTGATTTTCCGAAATAAAAAATACATAAAGCTATACCTCACGTTCACCGCACAATTCCTGGAGTGTCTCCAGTTGTCCGGGACATTTGAGGATCAAGTTGAGTTTCAGCCTTTCCCTCACTGAAAGAGCCATCTTAGTCTTGAAAGCAGTAGCTGATCTCAGCTGCCTTTTGGGGTGTAACTGTCCGGAAGTTGTCTGAAGGACCTGAAGTACGGAGCAGTTGTGAAATGTGAAGGTTGGAAAGTGGAAAAAAAGAAAGGAATTTGCCAAACTTTAGTGACTACCGGAGGAGAACATAAATAGAATCTTCTCACCTAACTAAAACACCATATTCGAACAGAGGCTAAACCAGCTTGACCATGAGTACCATCATAAGATCAGATGTTAGACTGTTAGACTCGAAAAATACAAAAAAACTAATATTCTTGACTCTCACCACTGCAGCGGAGGAACGACATTGCCGGAGGAGAGCAGAACATGCTGGTAGTCTGTGCATTTTACTGACAGTTACATCATGTGTGTTCTAATATGGGCGTTATCTTTATTCATCTGCTATGTTGAAAGAGTTTAATTAGAATTTAAGCATTAAGAAAACAAGTTTTCGATTTTAGAACGATAATTCGGGTAAAACGGCAGAGTTTGTCATGATCATCCTGGAATTGGATGACGTTTCTATAACTACTAATTTTATGAAAACAATATGATTAGGTTGATGAAATTTCACAAAATACAAACTCCTTATTATGTTTGTACAATAAATAAAAATCCTAATCCGATTGACAAAATTCCGTTATTTAAGGAGGGTCATCTCAGTTTAAACAGGAACAATCAATGAACAATGAACATCTGGCGTGAACCTTGTAGCGCGATGCACTACTAGTACTGGGCCGCGCCGCGCATCAAATAACGTTTCTCGCAACCTTCGGTAGATCGGCGATATGCACTACTGGGCCACGCCGAGCTGCGAAGGATTGACATCGTGAATCAAGCGTGAACCTTGCTTGTTTTGCTGATATAAACGTATTACTTCTCAACAAATGTTTCTTCTCCACAGTTATCGGGTTCAATCTAACTCTTTCGACTGGCTAATAAAATGATTCAGTTGTTGTTTGGTTGCTGGATATTGCTTCATCTTTTCAACTAACGTTGATATTCTCAGTGTGATATCACTCTCAGTGTCTTTGTAACCATGGTTTGGTATTTGGTCCACCTTATGGAATATGTTTCAACATCAATATTTCCAAACCATATTTAAGATATTACTCAATATTGTATGTGATTGAAGGTAATTTAAGCAAGCAAATTTTGTCAGCCACCTAATAGCTATTCTAATTATTAGAGTATTATACTGAGGTAGTTGATGGCAAACATCATTGGAAATATTCTGGCTACATACCATCAAATATGGGAAGATTTTCTGTATTTGTGCCCTGATCTGAACTGCAGTTTTTACATCGTTACATCCAGCTAGTTGCACCTCGAAAACTTCCCAATCCCTGAAAAAATAGATTAGAAAGAAGATAAGAGACTTTACTTCTCAGTTACATTTAAATTATTTTCAACGAGTAGGCTATTAACAAATTAAAGGCTTTTGAGTTTTGAAGTGCGTCCAATTTGTTTAGTGCGTTTAAGTACGAAAAAGTGCGTTTTACTTTATCACTTTATTACTAGTCACTACAACTTTATTAGTAGTCACTACAACTACTTTATAATTATATAATTAAGACACCACTCATAATAAAGTAATAAGGTTAAAACGTAATATTATGTATTGACGTGTAACTGTCAAGTGGCATTGGTAATGTGTCAGATTAAATATATATCACTACTAGTAGTAGTACTATAATTCAAAGTCTATATTATAATTCAAAGAATTATTTTTGCTGTATAATGTAGAATGTCTGTCTGTACGACTGCCCAAAATAGGAAGTTACATAGTTACCATGTTAACGAGGATTGTTACAAGCACGTGCACGTGCAAAGATTGGCGAGCGACATTTTTGATTTTGATCGGTTTTGTGGTAATTAAGTTGTGTTTAGAGTGTCGATTACATTTTAATCGGCTGTATCTTCGGTGGTGATGGATATCTTTTTGATGCTTTTAAAACTGGCTATCAAATAATACTATTAGCTTCCTTCCTGTTACCACGGGTTTTTCTAGTTTCTGTATAATGTGGAATGTCTGTATGTACGACCGCCCACGTGCAAATTAGGTAAAAATAGGAAGTTACATAGTTACCATGGTAACGAGGATTGTTACACGCACGTGCACGTGCAAGGATTTGAGAGGGGCATTTTGATCGGTTTTGTGGTAATTACGTTGTGTTTAGTGCGAGCTACATTTTAATCGGCTGTATCTTCGGTTGTGACGGATATTTTTTGATGCGATAAAAACTGACTACCAAAGAATAATATTAGCTTCCTCCCTGTGACCACGGGCTTTCTAGTCATCATTATAATTCAAAGAATTATCTCTGTACGACCGCCCACGTGCAAATTAGGTAAAAAGCAAAAGGTTGCATAGTAACCATGGTAACCGCCGGCAACGGTGTTGAACGCGCACGTACACGTGCAATGATTGTTGTTACGACACAACATTAGATATATTTTGAGTCACTAAAACTGAATCTGTATAATGTATATGTATAATGTATATTGTATAGTGTTGATAACACATCATAGTCCTTATCATATAATTAATATCTGCGATTAGGTGAAAGTATTTCCTGGTTCTTGTATTTGAATATCGAACACTTATTTTACTTCGGACATTCAAACAGCCACATTGTTACAGCCAATTACAGGAAGCCGAAGGATTCAATTATAAATTTAGTAACGGTTTAGGTAGTGTGTACCATACTTTCTTCGCCCGAGACTTTGCTGTAATGGGCAGCTCCTCATTTAACCCTCACACCCGATTTCTCGAGCATTCGGCTGAGTGAGTACTTTAAAAGTACGTTAAGTGCGTACTAACCAACGTCAAACTATGATTAAGGCCCCTCAATATTAGGGAATATGGAAGCAGCGTCCTGAAGGTGAAGCTGAGTGAGCTATGATAATTTTAAATATGTGAAGAAAGTTTACCTTAAATTCAGAATCGTTGACAATTTCTCTGTAGTCTTTTCAACCTCAAAATTCTTCCCGAACACAATTATTTTGTTTTCGGTTTCAGATATGATTGCTTTCACATCGTTTTTGTTCTCAAGGATATCAATATACTCAATAACTTCAGTCATAACTTTACCCATCTTCTTTGTGGGCAATTGTATCTAAAAAAGATGAATGGAAATGGCTAGAATTCGATAATTTACATAATATTGCTGTTTTGATCCCTTGAATATTCAGGTATGAATCAGTTGAGCAACAATTTATAGCTCGAAAATGCAAAATCTACCTTTTTAGTTATTTCATCATTATAATTAGTGAATACATTGTAGAATGTAGATTGTAGATTTCAGAAGCTGTCTTTTAACTTCAAATTCCCAGATGCTCCTGACTGGGGAGTGGGCTGGAATTAAATACAATTTATTTACTGAACGTACCTCTTCCAAATATTCCAATGATTCAAAGTGCTTCACCAATTCTGAATGCGCCTCTTCAAAGTCAGCATTTGACTTGTAAGCTATGTGAAACTGTGGCGTATTCTTGTCTAATGTTACACGGACCTGAAATAGTTTTTCTAAGTTTAACACTTAACAGTCGTGATAACCGATAATTAAATAACGATGAGTCGCATAGTTAGTAATTAAAATTGGTAAATAGACGATAAATTCTAGAAGAAAAGGAGTAATTTGGCAAGAGGACCGAGAAGTGCAAGTGCGTAAGATCAAAATACGCTATAATCTCTACCCTGAATACTAATTAATATAAATTTGTGGTATCAAACTATAAAAAGCTAAGATTCAAAAATATTCCAACCTGTTTGCTTTTCTTGGGAAAGAGCCAGCTATAGTTCGGTGAAGCCCTCTCAATTACTTTTACAAGGTAATAAGTCGACTGATTCATCTCATAGTTATTGAGAAAAATTTCAGATTCTATTTTCCGCAGGTTGTCAGCCGCTTCTTTTAAAAATGTTTTGTTGGCTGATTTCAGTCTTATGTATGATGTTGTTGAGCCCATTTTACCCAAGAGAGTTTGTAGGCTTACCTGAAATAAATAAATTGTTATATTGTGGATTAAATGTTCATGTATCGGAAGGCCAGTTATAATCTAAATTTATTTAGGCGATCAGCAAAATTTACAAAATGTTTTTAAAAGGTTTCAGTTCTCAAGAGGGTGGCAAAAATTAATTAAAACTTTCCAAATGTCTCATTAAAGTTCAAACTCACGTATTAGCGACAAGAGAAACGCCATTTCGGACGTGAGGAGAGTGAGAACTCCTCAAACTACATTAAATATATTCCTTCTGTAACGTCCTCAATAAATGTAATAGATTTTTAGTGTTGTAATTAGTTTAAAATTAGTAAAGTTCAAACCCACGTTGTTACAAGTCGCCCGAAAGTTACCCAGGTGTGGATCTAGGATAGCTTCCAGTTTATTCTTATCTATTTCAACAGTTTCCCATATATCCTCATCATCTGCCTGTAACAGATCTCCGATACCATGATGTGTTAAGAAATATTTGTCTAAATTCTCCTTTGCCATGGTAGTGTTGGATGGGTGACCATAGAACGACAGAGATCTGTTTTGTAGGTCTCTTTTGTACCTCACTTTTCTATTCAAACAGGTCCTGGAAAATAGTTAATATCATTTATCGAAACATTCATTTAACCAGATGTCATTTTCGAATGAAAAAATTGTTGTCAGGAAGAAATACTAATGCTTCTAAAGAAATTGAACAAAGGAAGGTCTACCAAATATAAATACCTTTCCAAGAAATCTTTAACGTCAGGCCAGTTTGATTTCAAAAATACCCAATGCTTATCACTGATGAAAAATTTAAGTTCTTCAGCATCTCCGAAGTATCTCCTTACATACTCCTCAGCCAGCCTCAAACTGGCAGAACTGCTGCTGCTAACCACCAGCCCTGTTTTATCCGCTTTGGTGGAAATCTTGGTGTTGGGAAAGGTAAACTTCATGTTACCAGCAATCCTCAGATCGTCTTGTGAGATATCAGATATTTCAGAGATAAGTTCTGGATCGTCCTGAAGACTCTGTTTCAAGATTTGCTGCTCAAGAGATTGAAGGTCTTCAAAAGCAGATTCAACTTCAGCAGGTGGTCCAACCATACTTATTTGACCTGGAGGGGACCTCAGATTATCGTTATAAAGACACTTTGTTCTTCCGTTTTTACTGTTGAGTTCTCTTGCGTACAGCACGAAGCTGTGCCAAGTGTTATAATCTTTGGTAACTTGGACATTTCTTGTTATTTTTCCTTTGTAAGCCTCTTCTTCCTTACGTTCGACAAGCTTCATAAAATTCTGGACAGCCTCTTTTTTACCGTATATAAGCCATGAGTCCATTTCTGAGTCGGATGAGAGTACTTTTTGGATAGAAACCTAAATAATGACGGACGATTAATATCAAGATGAAACATAAGAAATTAAAAGTTATCAATCGTATCTCGTGACCTATTTTTAGCGAATCCCAAATGTCGAGGATTTTAAATATTTATTTTGAAAAGTATCTTTAGTTGAAGGTTGTTTGCATGATAGCACTAACCTTGTTTTGGTAAGAATAATTTTTAAGTTCCGGTTCATCAAGACGAAAAAGGACAGCCGAATCCCTTGTTTTACTATAGATCTTATATCCCAATCCACCTATTCGCTCATGAAGAGTTTCAGCTAATTTCTCCGCCGACACCTTCTTTTTCCCATCCGTTACAAGCGTTATTTTCGATGAATCTTCCGCCACAAAACTGAATATACCAGGATGCTTTTTTGAAAAATTCCTAATTCCGCTACCGTCTTCCCCCACAATCATTCTCCTGAACACTGGATGAGGAAAGGGTACCTCCACAACAATCAGGGCATCAAAGGCACTCTTTATCTTATCAGATTTCAACCTCCTATCATCCCATTTTCCCCCGAATAAAATCACGCCATCATGATCTAAATGAGTATTGACGTTACTCAATCGATTGCTGGTCCGTAAAATTCCACTCAAGTTCTGACCACTAACTTTAAGGTATTGGCCTATGACCGGGTTAGCGAACGGAATGTTAACCATGTTTTGGATGTGACGAAGGCAACTAAGGGGTCCACGCCCAGCTGCTTTGGGAAAGGAGAGCTCCAAACTCGTGCTACCGTCAGAGATTGCGGATAGGAGAGCAGATCCCTGGGAAAGATCTCCGTTTATTGGAACTGTTTACTAGGTTATTAAAATAAATAAAAATGAGGGAAGTCGGCCATGGCATCTAATTAAAAAGGGCCAGAAGTAATGATTATTGGGCATCAGAGTTGTTAGTCCATGTTTCATATGCACGTAGCCAAATTGTAAATAAGTCTCAGAACGAACTAGAACGGTTTGAAATACTTACAGTTTCAAGATCTGATCGGAGTATTCTTTTTGCAACAACAGTCTGATAGCGATCTAATAGGCGTGTTTCAGTCTGGTACTCGCACAAATACGAATTCTCAAACCACTCCTGAAATGTAAGTATTTAGTGACCACTCCTGAAAAGTAGGTAGGTATTTAGTGACCACTCCTGAAATGTAGGTATTTAGTGACCACTCCTGAAATGTAGGTAGGTATTTAGTGACCACTCCTGAAATGTAGGTATTTAGTGACCACTCCTGAAATGTAGGTAGGTATTTAGTGACCACTCCTGAAATGTAGGTATTTAGTGACGGTGAACGGTTTAATGTGTTCGCATATAACATTACTAATACTATCGAGGGGGAAGAAGATTGGGAAATCCTGGCACAGTTATTCGTTCACAAGAACTTCATGCATATTTTAAATTTATGAAAGAGGTATTAATGACGAAAGATTGGTGACGAGATCAAAAATGTGCGGATTAAAGTCTAAAGAGAAACCTTAAACTGATTCAATTCAGTTGGTGATGGGCCACTGATAAGAATCTCGTTTCCCTTTCCACCATGAAACAATACTGTTACCTGTAATTTTATATTATATAATTTAAATAAGTTTCATAATTTACATTATTTTAACAATATGTATTATTAATACGAACAGTTATGATGAGCGTAATTTGATGTTTGATATGAAATCGACAAGACAATAATGATGGTATGCACTCAACTAGTTTCAGCCAGTATCACCTTAATAAATGTAATAGATTTAGTTTTTAAACTAATTACAACACTACAGATCTATTACATTTATTATCATGGTAGAGTTTTAGAAACGAAGCACGAGATAACAATTTGTTGAATTTGCGAAAGCAAAAATTGGATATCACGTTGTATGATGCATAATTTTCAGTAAAATATTTTATTTAAGATTATATATATTGCATAAACGAGTATTCAATATTCAGTATATGTTTGACTGTGTTTAGAGTTGTCGACCTTTTTGTTTATATATAATATGACTGTGGGCAGGTCACTTGATCATGCGCCAAGTTTGGATAAAGTCTGCCTTTTATTTGCTGTCTCCTCAATAATTCAATATTTCTACATATTTACTGTCTGAAAAATAAAATACTTATTTTTAGTTTATAAACTAATAATTTGTTCGTTTAATGATCAATTAATACCTAAATTTGGTTCACGTTCACATAGAACAAATCAAGTTGATCTAGGAGTACACGATCATACCTTTATACTACAATAGTGTAGGAGAACTGTCACGACACATCACGAGACACATCATGAGACATTTCACGAGACACATCACGAGACACATCACGAGACACATCACGAGATACATCACGAGACACATCACGAGACACATCACGAGACATGTCGCGAGACAGATCGCGAGACAGACCGCGAAACATGTGATTCTTTGCTGTCTGTTATTTTCGTCCAGTATTTTATTTATGATCGAGCATTGTGATAATTATAGTTGTTTCTAGAACACTATAATTGCATTTACTAGATACAGCTTTGAGATTAGCATTATATTTTTTATAAGCATATGGTTGACCCAAAGTGCTCCGCAGTTTTTTGTAATATTATTCCTTGTAATGTACCGTAAAGTCACAGTATAGTACATATATGTGTATATATGTGTATATATGTGTATTCACTGTATAGTGTATACATATGTATAGTATATACATTTGCATATATGTGTATATATGTGTACAGTGTATACATATGTATATATATGTGTGTATATATGTGTGTATATATGTGTATACTGTATAGTGAATATATATGTATATAATATATATATGTGTATGGTGTATATATGTGTCCTAATTCAACTGTAAGAAATGGAGAGTTTAATCAAATTTATGTAGGGCGCAAAATGGAGTGTCCAAGTCTCAGCTGGGTAGTTTAAACTTTTTAATGGTCTCAAAACGGACTTATTTTCAAAGCAAGAATAATAGTCCGTACATAATCCGTACAATAGTCCTTACATATATCTACACCGCTAGTGATAGTAATCGAATTATGAGATTCTCTCAATATTTACTATCTTAACTACCTAGATAATAATAAACTAACCGAGGGAAATTTCTCAAACTCTTTCTCGAAAAGATCATCCTGATTCAGATTGTTCTGCAATAGGTTACCCACAGTTCCAGGAATCGGGATTGAGTCCTTGAAAGGATCACACTGATATTTGATGACCTGTTCCACTCGATAACTGATCGCGGCGAGGGCTTCTTGATTTCCTTTAATTACTATGGAACCTTTATCAAACTGAACCGGTTTGGCAAACTTTTCGAACTTTTTTGGAACTAAATAATCAGAAGACTTCATAACAGCCGAATAGGTTTCTTCATCCATGTCCGAAATGACTTCCACAAGTATCTCAGATCTAACAAGATTCTCCGCGAAGATTTTGAGTCTTTGGATTTCGTTTTTATGGGCCGTCAAAAACACGTTTCTGTCTTTTACAGCCATAGAAATCGGATAGTCAAACTTCTTTCCTAATTGAGGTTTTTGAAGTAAAACATGTTCCCGGTCAAAGTCGATGCTGGGAGGAATTTTCATAATTGTAGAAGTGTATTTGCTGAACTGAGCATCCAGATATCTTTCAATTTCAGGAGAAGTAGACGGTTGCACCACAATGTCCTCTCGGAATAGGGATCCATACATCGGCATTTCTACTGTAATCTGAGGAAAATTAACGTAAAAATGATACCTCATGTTAAAATGTCATAAGAATTAAGCATATACATTCACCAAATCAATCAATTTGCGATCATGCAATCAGGCAGATAAGTTAGTTTACCATGGGGAAGCGTTGACCTATCCTCCGTATAATCTCGCGTCTAAGTGACCTCATATCACTCGGCTGATTAACAAACGATATGTGTTCGGTTGATTGCTCCTTCTGTCCGGTCAGGGAACTCAGGTGTCTGGCATGATTTGGTCCCTGGGTTTTCAGTATGAATCAGATTCAGTGTGAATAAGGTAGGAGTAGGGTTTGCATTATTATCGGTACGATAACAATTTTGAAATTATCGGCGATGCCGATAATTATCGGCGATAAAATTTGGTCATAACAATGAGCTAAGTTTCTGTTGATTTTTATGACTGACATAATCAATTACTCAATTACATCTTCATCACCTTCGTGAATGAGGATTACGGAAGTCCTGAGTTATTGTTACACGAATTCTAAACACGTTTAAATATTATCGCTTATAAAGGATAATGAGTCGCATACGGTAGTGTATTTTATGTAAGCTTGAGCCTTGAATGACATAGTATAGTGGCAAGTATAGTATTTGGTTTTGGTTTTGGTTTAGGGAGCAAACTTGCCACATAGGTCCAGGATCGAGATCAGAGCATACAGCTTGTTTGCTTGATTGTTGTCCGGTCGGTGCCGGTAGTTCTAATGTCAATGACCAATTTACAAAGAAAGTGGTATACAAATAATATTTTAATTAAACAACTGCACCCCAATTTCAGTCTGAAAACGTGAGAAATCAAAAAATTTCGCTACCTACATGTCAAAATCAATTTTATATCTCAAAGACTTCAAGTCTTGCATGGAAAATAAAATGTGGAATGAATGCAGGGTGGCCCAGAGCAAATGACCACCTTGAATACCGGAAAATTAGCCAGGGTGTTAGGATTATGGGACACACTCAACAAATGACCACCTTGAATACCGGACAATTAGCCCGGGTGCTAGGATATGGGACACACTCAACAAATGACCACCTTGAATACCGGACAATTAACCCGGGTGCTAGGATATGGGACACACTCAACAAATGACCACCTTGAATACCGGAAAATTAGCCAGGGTGCTAGGATATGGGACACACTCAACAAATGACCACCTTGAATACCGGACAATTAGCCAGGGTGCTAGGATATGGGACACAAGTATAATAACAACAAACACGTATAGTAAGAAGTAGTATAGAAACAAATAAGAACAGTGTTACTCACATAGCATGGTGTAGAGCTCCGAACAGGTAGAGTGCTCCTCACGATATTCCGAACTTGACAGAGAACACTACCACACAGAGCCGCTCGAGGGTGGAGCATGTTTCAGTCAGATGTGGGGTCAGAAGTGGGGTCTGAAGTGGGGTCAGAAGTGGGGTCTGAAGTGGGGTCTGAAGTGGAGTCTGAAGTGGAGTCCGGTGCCATTCAGTGCTGTAGTAGTAGAGGTATTGTGAACATTATTGTCATATGATAAACAAATTGGCGATGATTTGGTAACAATCTTAAATAAGTGTTTATTTCAATCACGAATTGCATAAATTATGCAATTCGTATGCATTATGCCATAATGCATACGTTTAATACATAATCGATTGAAAAAGTTTGTTTGAATACAAAATAAGAACCATTGTTGTTTGGTAAGGGATACACACTAAATAAAACGCCAACATATTGATGGTTGTGTGCCTAAATAAACTTCCAAATAATAAATAGGAGAAATATACATAAAACAAAATATAGTAGCAATATATCATATCCAACATTATGAATGAGAAAAACCAGAGCGGTATAATTTGTAGGGAACAATTAACGATTATTAGCAAAATGAAATCACCACAATGTGTCTAGCAAAGATCAACCTGGATAGAACACAGTCGGGCAGAGTCCGCAATAGTTAAATATAATCCATGATCTAGAGAAACGAGTATCTCGTAAAAATTTTAACATTCCCTGTCGTTCTGTAATGTCGTGTATGTTTCAGAATATTCTACGTTTTCATTTTTTTGTGTAAATGTTAAAAGTTAAAACACTCTCTCAAAATTTAGTTAACCGTCAGCGGAGCCTGAGCAGTGTCAGAACATCTAAGAAGTTATTGAATTACGATAATATCGAATTCCGAACCATCTCAATATATATTATTATATTGGGATGGTTCGGGATTCTGATTCGATGTCTACAATATTTATATTCTTCATATTAATATAGCTACAGTGATTGTGTCCAGTGTCGGTTGATCATTGGTGTCAGTATTCAAAAGAAAGTAACATGCTAACCATTAATATCAAACTGTAACCTAGAAAAAACTGGACTAGAATCCAATATGCTAAGCATAGTTAAAACTTTAAAATTTTTATAAAGTTATAAAGTTACATAACTTAATATATAACTTATATAACTTACATAATAAGTCAGTTCACTGCATAACGAGATAACATTCAGATCTTATGTTCGTGATTCATGGCGGGTCTTATCTCAATGACGAAATTTATTGATAAAAATGCCGAGTTCGATCCATCTGAAATACATCTTTGTGGATTTTCAAAAATACGGGACTTTCCGGAAATGTTACACAGATCGTCCCTTAAACAAGGTGATGTTACTTGTCGTTATCTTTGTCGTCTCTGTAAAACTCGTTATCTGCTATAGGCTTACTCTCTTGTTGGTATTTGGAAACGTAGAAGTCTGGTGGTATCTGCGATAAAGGTGTGTGAGAAAGAGCTTTGTGAGTGTGGGGGGGGGGGGGGGGGGGCCAAATCTTAAAGCTGTAAATTCATTTCCCGCTATAAGCCAGAGAGAATGAAAATCAAGATGATAAACATACAATTTATTGACGAAATTCAATAAAAAGCCGATCGAATGGTGACAAAATTTAAATATCTTGCCAAGAGAAAAAAAAGTAATATTTAAATCTTTAAAAATGTCCCCACATTACCCACCTCTTGCATCTGAACGCTGGGAGCGAAGCTGAGGTTCCTTAGGGTCTCCTCCACCGTAGTCATCACATTATCAAGATAAGTCCGGGTGTTTTGGTTTTCTATCTTGGTTGTGGTGTCTGGGTGGAGTGTGTAGTCTGGGGCGAAGTACTCGAAATAGTCCTGAAACATTGGAGTATGGTTAGAATAGCTAGGTCTAGTACATATATCTATATATTCAGATTATATTCCATGTATTAGTTCAGTTGGAGTACACATTTACAAATATACCTTTACAAAGATACATTGACTCACTATAATTGAGGTCATAAAGTGAAGCGATTATTTAGAAGCCGCATGGAATAAATGTACGTTCAATGTTCATTATACACCCCGTATTAGAAACATGACGTTTTATAGTGAGGAGAAATTATTTTTCTTTGTATTCTTTCTCAATCTCATTAAATCGTCGTGTCACTTTTTTAACTGTTGAGCTGCTAGACGATACAATAAACGTGTGTCGAATTTAAAAATCTAAACTATTTTCGGGACATTTCAGTAATCCTAAATACCAAATGAGAAACTGCATCTCCGACTACCGTATTACGTCAGTGCAATACAGTTTACAGTGCACTTTGTACCACCTTACTTAGCAGCAATGAACATTTGCTATTTCGAGAAGATATCCATGTATCTACATTCCACATAATTGTATCCTACATCTCCAACCAGTAGCGTAACTGAGGAACTGTCTCCAACCCTTCTTCCAGCATACTCAGAGGCAATATTTACGTAGAGTTACCCGGCGCCATTACCCGGGGGCTCCCTCCTCCTCCTCCGTGTACAGGACACACATTACCAAGCCGCTGATCAGGCCCAGTCGGACGTCACCACCAGTCCTCCTTATTATGAAGCTCATTTGCCGGCTTGCTCGAATACTGTGCGAAGTTGCCCTGCATCACAATGTTGACGACTCACATATTTTAGCCAAAAGAGACGCTTTTGTCTATTTCTTCACTACAGTTATGACTGTTGGCACACCGGAATGTCCTGTACCGATTAGTCCTTAAACTACAAATTATCCCTTAAACTAAAGATTATTTCTTAAACTACACATTATTCCTTAAACCATGATATAAGAACAAACCACCTTAGTCTTACACACTTCGTATTTCTTGCATGAAAATCTTTACGTTTAACTTTATTAAAAGATCATTAGATAATAATCTTTGCGGTTTTAAGACTTTTAACAACTATGCAGAAAATATATTCCTCATTAGAGTGAATTAGGATATCATAGCTCGCACAGAGTGACATGTAGAAAATAGTAACAATCCAAAATATTCGTTTATATCTTAATTTTATGCTGGGTTACTTATGTGATACTATTAAAATAAGCAAATAGTAGTAATAAAAATCAAATATTTCCGGAGATCTGGTTAGGTTATTATTGTAAGTGATATAAAATTATCCATATAAATATAGGTAAAGGCGATTTCATATCTAACAAAGCGAGGAACCCCAAACTATATCCCTAAACATTTTCAGCGCTAGTCTTAATAAGTTTTTCCCAACTCATTTGTATTGAGATATAATCTTCTCCACTTAATCAGGTGTTAAACGACATACACCTCACAAATAACACAATTAAGTGCCCTTCTACAGACGACAGGAATACTACTACTACCATGTCGGAACTAAGTCCGATCTACGCCAGATAACCCCCTCCATATATCCCTGTCCCGCATCAGGGTTCGCAGTTCCTGTTAATAGTTTGTCCCAACTTCCTTCAGTACCATAGACAGGAATAAACTAAAACAGCATGTTCCCATTATTATCAGAGAAATCAGAGAAACGAACGGAATTTTTGCAGTGACACCTCACACTCGCAGTGTGTAATAATATGTAAATGTCTCTCTATACCACATATCACTATCCTAACTATACGAGCTGCCTGATGAGGAATTATATGAATTATAGGAATAAGAGTGTGTTATGTGTAGTGTTTTAGAGCTGTAGCGTGCCGCAGTCTACAGTTTTGACTTTTGTCTTTTTTGTTCCCTTCGGCTTTGTAAATACCTGAGTTGGCTCGTTTCCTAGAATTACAACAATGAAATTCGTCATCATCCAAACTCGTCCTAAGTAAATGCGACGTGAGGGTATAGTACACAAACGTCTTTGTGTTAGGTATTTAGAAGAAGAACCTATATTAGATGAGGTGTACACTATTTAATGTACTTGCTCTGACGACGGAAAAAACTAACTTTACGAATGCTCACGGACCTACGTAACATGATCATTGTCGAACTCGGAGTCTCAATTGTTGTCGAGTAATATTCATTCGTTTCGAATTACTACGGTTCACGAAGTGTGTATCCTCACGCAGTCCGGGCTAGAGCTACTCAAAGTATTGATTTGCAGGTTTATCGCAGTCTCGTGCCTATTTGTCGACTCGCCACCCCACCAGAACCAACAACCATTTCCTCTGGTTATATCTATTATTTTTATATCTACTATTTTTATTCTGCACCGAATATTTTCCCTGTTTTAGTAACTTTTCATTGCAAGTTAGTTTATTGACTCGTAGTGATTCAGAAAAGAACGTTGAATTTAGGCCAATAAAAACGCCATTTCAATTCCTCTTATTTTGTAGCTGTCGAAGAAGATTATGGGAAAATTGACGAGTTTCAGAAGTTTGTTGTTGATGTTGCTGACGGTTGCAACTACAAAAGGTTTGTGTGCTTGATCTTAATTTTAAGGAGAACCAAAAATTCCTTTTTAATCTATGTGATCTTCACATTACCCCTGAAAAACAAAGTTATAGTAATTTGATACTTCATACTTTCATAATAGGACAAGAAGTTATCAGAACATTGTATAGATGAATACAATTCTGGCGGACATGTTCATAATAAATAAAAATTTCAGAAAAAATCGAAAACTTCTTTTAACGTGCAACTGCATGGTAACCAAAAATTTTATCGCACTGTAATTTGAACCAACATTAAGTGGATTGAAATCACGTTAGCCGATATAGTTATGGATGCTAAAATCTAAACCTCCCATAGCCTACGTAGTGACTTGTATCCGGCCTAAAATAGTCTGATAAGATAGTCATAAAAATCAAGCCATCAAGGAAGAAATAAGGAATAAGCGGCGCGGAGGTAAAGAAGAACGATCGTTTATAGACGATAAATTGTATACCTTAATTCCCAAAAATTTGGGCGACAAAAAATTTGAGCGGACCTCTCGCCCAAATTTTTTGCAGACCAAATTTATAGCATAAATCTTTTCCGTCTGCCAAATTTTTTGCTAACCAAACTTTTGGCATTTGGCCCTGAAATTGTAGGTTTACAACCTACCAGGACGCGCGCCGAGTATATGGAACAGATATTTTACGAGTATCACCCGTTAACCCTGAAATCTATAGAAAGATGGCTTTTTTTCATATCCAAGTGAAATAATATTTAAAATCTTAGTTTTCTAATCTGTCATTCATGGCTTGACCAATTAAAAGGATTAAAAGCAAAATGACTGGAATAATCACAATGCTGGCAAGCATGACCGTCGCCCTTATATTCACAATACTATTTACCCCCTTTACTATTTACCCCCTTTACTATTTACCCACCTTTACTATTTACCCCCTCTACTATTTACCCCCTTTACTATTTACCCCCCTTACTGCTTACCCCCATTCTAATTCAATGTTAAAGATGACAGGAATAAGCAATAGTTATGTGGAGGTTTTTAAGAAATTCGCGCAAAATACGCGCCAGCATGTTATATACGAAATTAGGTAAAAAACCCTAGATCGCCATATTCAGGTGCCTTAAAAACCGTGTTAAAATTGAGTTAGAGATTTGAAACTTTGCAGGGTGTCTAGATGTTGACCAAATCGACTGTAAAAAAGTTTCAAGTTTCAGGAGTATCGGGAAGTGGGTTTTCTGGAACCCCTGTTTTACAACAGATTGTCGTGAAGTATATGTATCTATCTATAGACGCTTTGGCAGTCAATTTGGCTTAAATTGGAGCCTACATTCAAGTATCTGTAGATTCAAAAGTATAAACAATACAGTCATCTCCAACCATAGGTCTTGAAGATAATCGTTTACACTTTAGTTTACATTATATCAAAAAATAATTTAACGTCATCATCACCACATGATGACGTCATCAAATTAAGCGTTTTTAAATCTTGATTATTGACAAAATAACAACTTTTCAAATCAATTTAACACCATTAAGGAGTAATTTTATTCAAAATCTGAGGAAATTTTCATCTTAGATAATTGTTCAAGCATTCTACAAATCTACCGGAAAATGTTTCTACCTTGCTCCTTCATAAAGATATTTGCTATTGAAAAAAAAAAGTGCTTTTTTGAAGAATAATTTTATAAAAAGACAAAAGTTGTGAATTAGTATTCTCTGGTGTTGGGCCATCTCTTGGGTGGTGGAGCTCAATTTTGCTTCTTAAAGGTCTAAATTGTGTTATAGGCTAGTTTTAAAGTTGAAAATCGAAAAGTTGCACACGTGGGGACACGCCCAAATTGATAGAAAATTGCTAAAATCACTGAAAATTGTTATTTTCACGATTTTTATCAGCTTTGGAGTCCCGTTGTGATGCGAGTTCTTCCTAAAATATTCTGAAACTTAGCACACTTATTAAAATACATAAGAAACACGAAAATTCAAAATTTTACGGTGATTTGATATTGGATGCGCACGCAACGTCCGCTCAAAGTTTGCAAAAAGTGAGAACTTCACTCTCTTTATTTCGATTAGATTTAGTTCCTGCTTTAACAGTAACATGACAGTTAAATGACATTATATTTGAGTTTAATGCCAACTTGAATGATTATATAGTTGCATATTCAATCAGTGATCGACAGATATGCTTACCTAAACACAAGGAAATATTTTTAAAGGAAAAATTTCGAAATTGTTGAAACTTCCTCCTTATTAATGAAGATATCAGTTTATATTTCGACTTTATAAAATACTCTGACATTACAATCAAAAAGAGATGATATTTGACCAAAACCCATAATCATAGGTAGAGTGGACCGCTGCCAGTGTCTCTCTTTCCCAAACAAAAGGAAATGATATTAATTTGACTGACCGTTCTCATATGCAAATTGGTACCGAGAATGAAATCGGTCGCTCGCTTTTCCCATTCATTCACGGCTTACGAATTGTAATAAAGCTTATTGAATAGGAAAAGCGAGCGACCGATTTCATTCTCGGTATCAATTTGCATATGAGAAGTGAGAACGGTCAGTCAAATTAATATCATTTCCTTTTGTTTGGGAAAGAGAGACACTGGCAGCGGTCCACTCTACCCATGATTATGGGTTTTGGTCAAATAAGGAATAATAATGAACTAAGGCAAATATTTAACTGAAATTTTAGTGGAAAATCGTTCATTTTTCGAAGAATTTGTGCCCAAATTTTCGGTCGCCCAAATGAGTTCAAATTTTCTGCCCAAATTTTTCGGGCTCAAATAAATTGTGCTCAATATAATGGCACACAAATTTTTGGGAACTAAGGTATACAGTTTTGAAATAATATGGCTTTAAATACGACATGTCAATATATCAGCCAATGTTAGATTACAGCCTTGTTTCGACCTGTACTGGTCGATGGAGCCTTGTTATTAATAATTTGTATTGTAAAACTCCGATTGCACCCTAGAAGATTATAACGTTATATTCAATGTTCTACTCCAGGTATCAACAGAATAAGTACAGACGGTAAATGCGGTCCGACCATTCCCCTTTCGGATAGTAAACCAACAGAATGTGACCCCTCTGGATCAACTCCTTGCTGCTCCGGGAACCAATGTGTGGCTGTAGGTGAAGATCTAAGCGAGTGTCTGTGTGACGGATGTGTGGACTACAGATTAGTCGAACAAGCGCGGAACTCTGCTGACAGTTGTGCCATCATCGAGTTTAACACATTCCTGAAGAGAATTTGCTACGATGAGGAAAGTTCGACACTCAACTTCAGATGTGCGGATTCAGAGCTGTCCTACAAGACGATCAAAGGGAGCGAAGATCTGATTGAGTTCTCCAATACCTGCACGGAAGTTCCCATGAATTACCAAGCCTGCGGACTCGTAGATAACATTGACATGAGCATGTCCAGCGACAACACCGTAGGAACTGCTTGTGGATGGCATGTGTGTACTATCACTGACAACGGAGAATCAACCATAACTGCCAAGGAGCATCTTTGTGACGGAACGCAAACATTGAAGAGTGTCGTATGCGATGGTAAATGTGATACCGAGCGCTGCGTAGATGAAAGTTTGTGTCATGATCTTCGATATGGTATGAATTGTAGAGATACGGTCAATAGACATGTATACTTGCCAGTAGAAAAGATTTGTGATGGGAGTTCAGATTGCGTGAACGATGGAGATGATTGCACCGTGACCAGCGATACACAATCTTGCACTCACTATCTGAAAAACCATCTAATTGTTCCCATACATAATTACACGAGATGCGCCATCTTCGACCTCGATGGCACATTTCCGAAAGCACCGTATTGTGCTGACTTTATGGACCAAACAAATTGCACGGATGTCTGTCGAGTAGGCGGATTTTGTGAAGTGAATGGGTTCAAATCAAGCATCTCAAAGACTATGGTCTGTGGTGGGAACAAACAACTCTGTGATGATAACTCAGAAAACAGCTGCATAGATGCATCTTCAAGTTGTCGGGTTCATAAACACAAACTCTGTGATCGACATGGAGATTGCATTGATGGAAGTGATGAGACCCATGATGATTGCAAGGCCATGACGAAAGAGCATCGATGTGTCCGCAGGTTTGGTGTCATGACAGAAAAACACGAGCCTGGATTATGTCTATCTAGAAGAAGCGAAAGAATACCCCAATCTTGGATAATGGACGGTGAGAAGGATTGCGAAGACGGCTCAGACGAGGATGGAACACGGTGGGAATTCTGCAAAGTAGGAAACATTTTAAAAGATGAAGGAGAACCATGCAAGGATGGGTTTCTTTGTCCGAAGAGCAAAACATACGTAAACTTCGATCTTGTCTGTGAGTCCAAGGAGTCTTGTGGACTTGACGGAAAAGAAAATGAGATCTGCACAATATCAAGAGACATACTTCCGAAAGATACTACTGTGGAGGAAAGATCTGGATTGATTAAACAACTCTGCAACGAGACAGACTCTAATAATTGTCAAGTCAAAGACTTCAATTACCCAAAGTATAACATTTTCGGCGTGATTAAAGTTCAGCTGAACATTTCAACCAGAACAGTTGACTGCAGCAACAAATTTGGGGAGCATTACGTGTACCTAAGTTGCATGGGTCTCTGCGAAAACACCAGTTGTCCCTTAAAAAACGAGATCCTAAAGAATGGCTCCTGCTCAAATCTTGAATTGGTCAAGGTTTTCACGCTGGCGAACAATTCTGAGTTGACCTTCGTCAACAAATCTGAGGGCCGTTATCACAATGACTTCTACGAATGTGACAATGGCCGCTGTGTTAACTTCTCCCAAGTCTGTGATCTTGTAAATGACTGTGGCGACATGTCGGATGAGCTGAACTGCAAGAACCATTTCCCCTGTGAAGATGACGATACATCTTTTGTCGGGATAAACCAGACTTGTGATGGCATCTACGATTGTCTGGACTTATCAGATGAGTGTAATGATAAATGTGGCCGTAGAATCATTGACAACGGATCATGGCTGACACCCTTCTGTTGGCTCATCGGGATTCTGGCGGTTATGCTTAACATCTGTACCTTGGTCATCCTTCCTCGGGCTCTAAAACAATGTAGAAACGAGAACATTCTCTTCTCCAAGGTTCTGGTGATGCTGATCAGTGTTGGGGATCTCCTGATGGGAATCTACTTGATTGCTCTATCTGTGTACGATGATATCATCCTGGGACAGAGCTTTTGCAGGAAGCAGGCTGAGTGGTACACAGGTACGCAGTGCTCCGTTCTGGGGGTCATAAGTACCATTGGATCTCAACTATCCTTGTTTTCTATGACAGTCTTAAGTATCTTTAGGCTTTGCAAGGTTTTAATGAATGCTTTGCCATTGCCAGTGAGTAGAAATTCAATTATTAAGGCGATCATTTGGGCAGTAATTATCATTCTAATTTCGCTTGCATTAGCGGTGATTCCTTTGATACCATCCAAATTATTAGAAGAATACTTCGTCCAAGGAATCCACTACGACCCAAAGTACAAAGTTTTCGTTGGATTCAACTCAAAACAGAAGCACATAAAAATACTTGAAAAGTATTACGAGAACAAGACACTGACAACAGACTCCAGTTGGTCAGAGATCGGTACCCTGGTGGATGGGATGTTCAGTACGGAATACGCAAATCTCACTCGAAACAAGGTGCACTTCTACGGTAACGACGGGCTGTGTTTGTTTAAATACATCATCAGAGGGGATGACGCCCGGAGAGGTCGTGAAGCAACAGGGACATCTACCATCGATCTCTACAACGATCCTGTGGTATGGGCTATTCTCACCGTCAACCTCGTTTGTTTCGTGGGCATCCTCATCTCAGCAGTTGTTATTTGTATGAAAACAAGGCAGTCTGCTAATCTGGCTGGACAAAAGAAAAACAAGGCAGCGAGAAAACGGAATCGCAGCTTGGAAATCAGAATTTTGGCCATAGTAGTAACTGACTTTCTGTGCTGGGTTCCTTTCATCATAATATGCTTCCTTCATAATCGACGTTTTTTGGACGCCTCAAAATGGTACCAGGCGTTAGCATTGGTCGTATTACCGCTAAACTCACTGATAAATCCCTTGATTTACGACCGAACCATAACACAGTTTTGTAAGATGAAAATGGACAATTTTACTGAGGCATGGGGCAGTGGTGGAACTCCCAGTGAGACTGAAGGAAACGTATCACCATCAAATGGAAATAGAAGACAAGACTTTCAATTAAAGCAGACTGCAACACAATCTACAAACGCACAATACCCTCCATGATTTATCCCCTAATCTCTATAATGTTGTGCTGGTATTGAATGCTGGCATTAAATCAAGGTAACGGTTACAGTCAGAAACTATCATTTTATTCACTATCGGGCATGAGACTTGGTCGGTGGTCAGTTGATTTTGAATAAACAATTGAACAAGTCATTGATGAACATAAAATATATATCTTTGATTTTTACTTATCAAAAATAGGGAAATGAAGTTTTGAATAACCCTGATGTATTTTAATCTTCTTGACTTGTCGTGATTGCAGCTTCAATAAATTGTAAATACAGTTAAACTTCCAGTTCCGAAATCATAATGCATTAAACCTTGTCTGATCTCCTGTACTGCTCTATTTTAGTCCAGAATCAGCTGGTTTAGAGTTGGATGTTTTAATGTATAGCATGTTTTGTTTCAGTGGCGGGGGGCCACTCTGGGGGGGGGGGGGGGGGGGGGGGTACATGCAACGTTACGCCACTTTTTGTTTATAATGATTGATGGTGGGGGGGGGGGGGAGTACATGCAACGTTACGCCACTTTTTGTTTATAATGATTGATGGTGGGGGGAGTACATGCAACGTTACGCCACTTTTTGTTTATAATGATTGATGAATTTAAGTATTATTATTATATAGCATTTAGTTATCTAAATTTCAGTTTTCAACTTTTACACAATATGTACATTTATGTTATGTGAGTATAGTGTATAATAATTGTCATGACAGATTTGTTTCTTTACATTGTCTTATGAAGTTTTTTTTTTCCTTTAAAAAGTGTTTCCTTTCAAAACCACCGTTCTAGTTGGAAATTAAAATGCTTCGAATTATTCATTCCTATCCAATCGTATCTTAATAAGAGGGATAAACGAAGTACTCTAGTAGCAGAGAGGAGTTGAGTGTGCACTTCAATGTCCACAATTTTTGACCACGCAGGGTCTTTCATTAGGTCATTCCAAACCAAAATCATCTAGGTACCCATTTTGTATTGCTAGTCCCAGTCCTACAGGGCGAAATTTCTAAATTGCCCTCAGGCGCAAATTTGGGATTTTTTATCTCGGCTTCTAAAAGACTTAGAGACTTGAATATTGGCTTAAAATAACCGCAATACCCTTATTTATATACAAGTTATGAAGCAATATAAGGTCTCAAGTGCCTAGTTTTAAAGATATTCACGAAAAACTGTTTTTTGGCTCATCGCAGCCGGAATTACCGGATTATTTTTATATCTCGAGCTAGAAAGGTCGTAGAAACTTCTCCGATATTGGAAAGTATTCGCAATGAGCACATTTATATAAGACTTATGAATCATTGTATGCTCTAAAATGCTTATTTGTAGAGATATTAGCAAAAATCGGTAATTTTGGCTTCACCAATACATATTTGGTAATTCGTTTTGTCTTTTTGTTGCAAATTTTCACGTTGCAATTTTCAAGATGCGGTTTGTGGCGATCGATAGGGCTTTATATGCTATTGTATGGTTTTTATACAATCCTTCAGCACCTAGGACATAGGCAATAGGGGTCTCAAACCCTGAAATGTCAGGAACTGGGCAGTGGCCGAGATAAATATTTGATAATTACTTGGACTCTTGACTCACATTCATCTTTTCAACGGTTAGTTAGACATCTTAAACCAGTGTTGAACGTTGAGTGAAACTTCTGATCCATTTGTAGCTCAGGTGATGTGCCCCAGAACAACACGCCTGAGTGACAGTGGGCCTTATCGATCATGAGCCGCAAATCACAATGACTTTGGGTCTCAGAGACAAGGGCATTCGTACTCTTGGCTTAAATTGGCTCTTTGTAAGTATCATCAATCAGGTTTCTAACCTCTATATCATCTGCCTGTCCATTGTACATCCGTCTCTTTGAGATTCATTATTACTTCAAGTTTAGTCATTTCGTTTCTGTTCAACTGTAGGCGTAATGAGGCACTTCAGTCCAGCAATAAAGTCAATATCTCTAGATTTAGCAATATTTGGTTTCGCTACTTTTAAGGTAATTGTGTTCAGCAAGCAAGGTTGTAAGTTTTCAGCCCTACTGCCCCCCCCCCCCCCCCCCCCCCCAGATCACTAGTAATGCTGGAGCACTGGTAATGCACATGGTAATGCTGATTTTTTGCTTAACATATCTCATTTTTAAGTTCCTTTTTCAGCAGTCTTCCATATCATACTGGCATAAAAAGAGAGTCGCCTCCTTTATCTCTAAATATAATCTTGAACTTCCAAATATTGCTAAATCTAGAGATATTGACTTTATTGCTGGACTGAAGTGCCTCATTACGCCTACAGTTGAACAGAAACGAAATGACTAAACTTGAAGTAATAATGAATCTCAAAGAGACGGATGTACAATGGACAGGCAGATGATATAGAGGTTAGAAACCTGATTGATGATACTTACAAAGAGCCAATTTAAGCCAAGAGTACGAATGCCCTTGTCTCTGAGACCCAAAGTCATTGTGATTTGCGGCTCATGATCGATAAGGCCCACTGTCACTCAGGCGTGTTGTTCTGGGGCACATCACCTGAGCTACAAATGGATCAGAAGTTTCACTCAACGTTCAACACTGGTTTAAGATGTCTAACTAACCGTTGAAAAGATGAATGTGAGTCAAGAGTCCAAGTAATTATCAAATATTTATCTCGGCCACTGCCCAGTTCCTGACATTTCAGGGTTTGAGACCCCTATTGCCTATGTCCTAGGTGCTGAAGGATTGTATAAAAACCATACAATAGCATATAAAGCCCTATCGATCGCCACAAACCGCATCTTGAAAATTGCAACGTGAAAATTTGCAACAAAAAGACAAAACGAATTACCAAATTTGTATTGGTGAAGCCAAAATTACCGATTTTTGCTAATATCTCTACAAATAAGCATTTTAGAGCATACAATGATTCATAAGTCTTATATAAATGTGCTCATTGCGAATACTTTCCAATATCGGAGAAGTTTCTACGACCTTTCTAGCTCGAGATATAAAAATAATCCGGTAATTCCGGCTGCGATGAGCCAAAAAACAGTTTTTCGTGAATATCTTTAAAACTAGGCACTTGAGACCTTATATTGCTTCATAACTTGTATATAAATAAGGGTATTGCGGTTACTTTAAGCCAATATTCAAGTCTCTAAGTCTTTTAGAAGCCGAGATAAAAAAATCCCAAATTTGTGCCTGAGGGCAATTTAGAAATTTCGCCCTGTAGGACTGGGACTAGCGATACAAAATGGGTACCTAGGCTAGATGATTTTGGTTTGGAATGACCTAATGAAAGACCCTGCGTGGTCAAAAATTGTGGACATTGAAGTGCACACTCAACTCCTCTCTGCTACTCTAGTAAAGGGTAATCATCAACTATGACCATAAATTTAAATGTGAATCTAAATAAATCTGAAATTGAGGTAGTGGATTAATGTACACATAAATAAGTACAATGGACCCTCAAGGATCACCACTTCTCTATGTAGGCTTACTAGTTACCCAAGCTGTTAAATTCGCCAAATTTTCGTCAAAAAGTACGGCGTATTTAGAGTTCTCAGAAAGTACGCGAATAATTCGCCAATTTACAACTTCAAGTTTTAATTTTTAGGGCTGTTAAATTCGTCAAAAAATGCGCGGAAAATTCGGTAAAAATGCGGCAGTGGGAGCGCGCAGCATTCTCGAGTCTATAATCTAGTTGAATATGTGAATTGTGACGTTATTCTTCAAATCTCAAACTAGAACTTACAAATCTCGACAAATAGACTACTGACTAGACTGTAGAGGAAATAAAGTAATTTCAAGTATATTGAGAGAAGTTAGTTTACTCCATTGCATAACGTCTTCGGGTATGACCTAAATTTAACCCATTGCGATCTTGGTCAGTACCCACGCTAGTCACTAACCAGTAACCACGCACGTGTTGCGGGAAGCACATGTTTTGGCAATATTCCACCATACAAAGCCAACTTTCGTGACATTTTGATATGGGCACGTGATTTCCTGTTCCCGTATTTTTTTAAAAGTGCGGCAATTTTCAGAAAAAATTCGTACGCGAATAATACGTTTAGTGCAAATTTAACAGCATTGCTAGTTACTATAGTTACTACAATAGTTACTACAATAGTTACTATAGTTACTACTATAGTTAGTAATATAGTTCCTCCTATAGTTACTACTATAGTTAGTACTATAGTTCCTCCTATATAAGTTACTACAATAGTTACTATAGTTACTATAGTTACTACTTTAGTTACTATAGTTACTACTTAAGTTACTATAGTTACTACTTTAGTTATTAGTTACTATAGTTACTACAATAGCTACTTTTTGAGTACACATCGAGAAGCATTGCAATTAGCATCACAATACGACACAATACGTTCGTATAAGTCCACTAATGGGGTATATGAGACGCTTGACAGGTTATTTTAGAGAGGTTATAAGGTTATTTGACTATTTGAGAGGCTACAGATACTGGGGATTGGAATCATGACGCGAACCTCTCTATACCAGAATGTTTCCTACATCGTACACTTTTCGTTTCCCCCGAGAGGCCCGGTGGGGGGGGGGGGGGGGATACAACGGTCATTAATGTCAGTATTATAGAATTTTGCTGAAATATACATATACATTAATGCACATTAATGCCCATTCATGCCCATTAATGCCCATTAATGCACATTAATGCCCATATTTAATAGAAAAATGGGGGAAAAAGTATGGGCATTAATGGCAGTATTTTAAAATTTTGCACATTAATGCCCATTAATGCACATTAATGCACATTAATGCACATTAATGCCCATATTTAATAGAAAAGGTTTGACTTTACTCGGTAGAAGTCATTTTACAAAGCACCTATATATATAACGCCATTATTGATTATACATTATAAGATCAAAGAATATTGAAAGTTAAATTTTTTTTCCCGGTGCCAGCACTTTGTTCCAGTCCCGGTCCCGGCCAAAAAAGCGGTCCCGGTCGATCCTTGATAGTATTACAAAGCATTAATCGTTGTTCTTTCAAATAATGCCTTAATATAGCTGAACTTTGAGTCCATTAGCAATAGTAATAAGTATGTAGACATACGG